GGAATAAAAACATGAAGCTTCTATTTTGTTATATTTTCATTGTTTTACTCCTATTTTAGAGAAAATACTAACATTGGAGCTCCATGTTTTTATTTCCAAAATAAGAGTTCGCACTGTGGTAATGTGACATGTGGACATGTGGTCAAGTACTTGTGGTCTTGTAGACATGTAGCGCGATTAATGAGGTAATGAGGAAAAAATCCCGCGTCACAAATGTTGAGAAATATTTTGGGGATGGCAATGCAAATTTATTCATATGTGGTGAATTTATGTTTTGAACTCCTATTTAAAATATATTTTCTATTTTTTATTCTTATTTAGGTTTCCCCCTGTGCGTGTGTGTGGGTGTGTGGAGGAGCCTTTCATGGAGGTCCTCTTCTTAATTTCAACTTTCTTTCCTTTTCATCTCAAAGGAAATGTATTTCTTTTTTCTTTTTCTTTCTTCTGCCAAAGGCAAATGACTCTAGCCCGGGGATGCCGATCCAAAACGACTCCTATTTAATGTTGCTGATTTGCTGGCCTTTACTTCCTCATGCATGAAAATGCTAGTTCCGGATTTTGGATTAAAGCAAGGGCATTTTGGTATGCCGTGTAAAAAATTAGTCCTAGATAGGGGATTTTAAGTTTATAGTTTTATTTAGGTATATTGTGTATGTTTTAGTCCTATTTAGGTATATCTCCCTTTAATGATGACTTAAATTTATTTATTCCGGACTTAATAATGACCTAGTAGAAGAAATAATGTCCAGTAATGATTGACATTTAGTTGAATAATGACTACTTTATAATGACTAAAGGTCCTACATTAAGACATAAAAACATATGGTCCTATATTGAAAATATCATTATGTTTTAGTTATACTCCGTATTTATGTAAATTACCCTTTTTTTAGGGTTTCCAAAGCTGTTGTGAATTGAATACTTTATTAATCATATGTCGAGGTATTTATAGGGGTGTTCAATCGGATCGATCCGGTCCGATCCGATCTGAAAATTGAGATATCCAAAATTTTCGGATCATGTAAAACTCATTCCATATCCGATCCGAAAATATTCGGATATCTGAAATTCGGATATCCGATTTTTCGGATCGGATCACTGGATTATCCGGACAATTGAGTTTTTAGCCAAAATTTATAAAAAAAAGGTAAAATAGCAAAATAAACCCAAAATATCAAATTCAATATAGATTTACTAAAAGAAAAATTTTCACTAAGTAATGGCCTAATAAAAAAATGATACCAAATTTAATTTGGGAGTAACTTTGGTAATTTTGTCTAAACAAACAAAAAAACCATTATTAAAACAAAAGATTCTAAAATGCTAATGCAAAAAGTCCAAAATGATTGAGTTCCAAAATCAACATAAAATTACAAAGAAAACCCCCTAAATAGGAGTATATCATTGGATATATACCTAAAATAGGAGTCCTAAACTTATATACCCGATATAAGAGTAATTATTATTATCTAATTTACTCTGTAATTTTATATTAGTGTCCACTCCACTTCCGGATCGAATGGTAAAACAACACAGCCGTCCCACCTCCTTTCTCTCTCCTCCTTTTCACCGTTGCGCCGCCGCCGCAATCGCCGTCGAGCCCCTTCCGCCATTGCCGCCGCCCCCTTCCGCCATCGCCTCTTCCCCCTTAGCGCGTTGCCCTGTTTTTTCAATTCATTTGTATGTTTTAGGTTTAATTTATTCAACAAATTCCTTCAATGACTCATGATTAGGTCTATGATTATATTTGTTGGGGCTACAAATTTTCATCAGAATTTTTTTGTGTGCTGCGTGCATTCTTAATCTACAATATAATTTCATTGGATTTCCATGATGTTCTAATCTTTTTTTCATGTTTTCCTTGCATATTTCTATTTGGATTTGTTGTGTGTATTCTTTGTGTATATTTTAGCAATAATTTTAGCTAATCAAAAAATCCAAATAGACTTTTGAGATTATCGTTCTTTTCTAGTTTTTCTTTACAAGCAGAAAAAAAATCTTATTGTTTCTGTGATTGGGGTACTTGGAATAAAAATTTAATTGAATTGGCACTCTTGCATGATTATGACATTGGAAAATTATAGAATTTCTTGGCATTTCTTCTTTTTAACATTATGTATTGTCATTTGTTACATTATATGTTGACATATTTGTCATTATAAGTTGACATGTTTGTCATTATATATTGTCATATACTCCGTATTGCATTAGGCATTGACATGTTTTACATTATGCCTTTGTTTGAAATTATGCATTCGCACATGTAATTTCATGTGTGGCAGTATATATAGTCATGTTTGACATTAATTATGTCCTTACTTCACACTATATGGACAGTTTTAATGTGGCACTATGGTGGCGATGGTGGGAGATTTTCTTTTGATTTATGATCTAGAGACTAGAGATGTTATGGTGGTTAAGAGAATTAAATAATGACTTTTTTGCAATCTAAAAATATGAGTATTACTTTTATGTGATGGGTTTTCATTTTCTTGAGGTTCTGAACGAGATATCTTACAAACTCCTTTTTAGTATTGATTGTATTGCAAACCTGAAATCTTTATGTTTGGAATGTGAGGTGAAATTTGTGGGGTTCATTTGGAATGTGCACTTCATTATTACAATGTAGGTGCATTAGTGGCGGCGGCGGCGCGCGACAGTGGGAGGAGGGGCGGTGGTGAAAGTGGCGGCGACGCTCCTCTTGAGCCTTGACTGTTTGGCGACGGTGGCTGGCTTGGAGTACTACTATAGGTGATTATGGTTGCGACTCCAAGGAGAAGAAGAGCAAAGGCAGCACGACTTCGGGTCGGGATCTGCTTTCGAATGGCGGTGAGTTCCTCCTATGCACCAGCTACTAAAGCTTCCGCCACCAATGAGCGCCAACGTTCAACACTGGTTGCAGTTTCAGCACCACTCACTACTCGACTCTAGGGACCAGTATCAAAGAGTTGGTGTCAAATGCATTTGTCTACAGCTCTAGCAGTGGTACTCACCTGTTTCGTGCACTTCTAGTTCTTGAAGTACACAAAAAATATATATTCGGTGGTCCATAATTAAAAAATGGAAAAAGAAGTTAATTTGAATGGTTCAAATGTATCTGGAGAGGGATTGAGCTTAGTCCTCAAGTGCTAGGCAACATCCATAAAATTCCAAAAATATATAGCAAAAAAAATTGGATATCCGGTTATCCGAAAAATTCCAGAAATTGAATCCATATCCGATCCGATTTTTTTTGGTTATCTGATCCGAAATATCCGAAAGCTAAAATATCGGATCGGATATCCATTTTTCGGATCAAATCGGCCCGGGTCGTGGACGGGTATTTTGGATCGGATATTTTTGAACACCTCTAGATATTTATACATACATTGGGAGGAGTTAAAGTCTAGATAAGCAAGATAATCAGATATTTTAAATAATCTGCCGTATTTAATAGATGTAAGTTAAAGTTGAGGGAGAAATGGTTTGACCCCTATTTCAAGCCCTGGCGGGCTTGGGTGTATTTCCAATGCTCTAACACTATGTTTGGTTCAAGGAATTTGAATGGGAAAAGAAAAGAAAATGAAGTGGAAAACCATTTTTCTTGTTTGGTTAGAGGGAAAAGAAAGGAAAAGTGAAAGGAAAAGAAAATGAGGAGACAAAATGTACCAAGTAGAGGGAAAATCAAATTCCTTCCATTTTGGTGAGAAAAATGAATGAAAACCATTTTTTCTTTTCCTTCCAAAATCTTCGTCCTAATTCGCCTAGAACTATGCGGTTCCATTCTAGCCCTGTTTTTCGCTCGTTTTTTTTGGGGCAAATTCTTGTTCCACAAGAACCCTGTAAACCCTACTAACATCCATATTCTTCTCAGAATCTTTCTCCCAAGGAATTGAAAATCGTAAAAAGAACGGAAATGGCGAAAGTTAGTGCAGCTGGGCTTGTTGCAACCCTGGCAGCTGCAGCATTCGGTGCACAGCCTGCTTACGCCGATGGGCCTTTCAGCTTCTCTCCATTTCCATCGTCTTCTTCGCCCGCCCAACCCTCTGTTCAGGCTCCGGCGGAGGCCGGCGCCAGGAAGCCGCCTCAGCAGCACCCGCCTGCCGAACCTCCAAAGCCTCGCAATGATCATCCCAGAACAGCATCGGCCGGATTCGACCCAGAAGCTTTGGAGAGAGGCGCCAGGGCTTTGAAATAACGATTGACAAGTCTTCCAGTGCTAAACAGGTTAGTTGTTGGATTTAATTTGGGGGTTTCCACTTGAAGAAACTTCGTGATTTGGTGGGAATGTCATAATGCGTGCACTCTTTTCTGATTGAAGTTGCTCTAATTAATGAAATTTGGAATTGATTTATTATAAGAAATGAGTACTTCCAGAAGTATCACATATTTTTGAATGGAGCTTTTATTTATATCAAGTACTAATTGATTCACTGTAGGTTTTTGAGGTGATAAGAAAGCAAGAGGATAGAATGCAGGCAGAATTATCTAAAAAATCGGCTGAATTTAAAGTTTTGCAAGCTCAAGGTGAAACTGTACGATTGCTCTTCGTCATGCGTCAGTTATATACCTTACCATCTTCAGTTTCATGCGTTTTTTAACTGATTCTTTTTACGGCGTTTTTTACTGATTCTATGCAATGATCTATGTGCCAGATAATGATATCCATTTTCTTTTCATAAACTTATTTCGAACCGTCATCGAGCATTGTGATAGGTTGCTAACCAATAAGGCAACAAGATTTTGTCACCATCTTTGAATCATAACTAAATGAGTAACCGATGTTTACTCAAGTTCTGCTGAATAAAATACCATCACTTGCTGAACCTGCTTACTTAATTTTCTTAGATTTCATTCCATCCTCAGTTTTATTTGATTTAATTGCAACGGGATTAAAAAAAGCTGCTAATAAATAAATGAAAGAGATATGCCTAGTATTGTTCAATTTGCAGTGTTAAATAGACCATATTTATAGTGTCAGTGCCACTATGGCCTTTTTTATGCTTTTCACCACACGAACAAAGAACAAGGCCTCCATGGGATACTTTCCTGCAAAATTTATTTGGTTATACATTATAGTTGACCTATAATCATCAATATCAAAACATCTGGCTAGTGTCATGAATTCATGATTTTATAGGGTTAAAACTAATTGCATAAAGTATAAGGGATTTTCTAAACATATCCCTTAACACTGCCCTAATGCTATTTTTGGTTCATGGAATTTGGAAGCAAAAAAAAGGTTTTCTCTCATTTTCTTCACTATAATGAGAGGAATTTTGCTTTTCCTTCTCTTAGTACATTTTGCCTTCTCATTTTCTTTTCCTTCTACTTTTCTTTCCTTCTCTAACCAAACATGTAAAATTGTTTTTTCATCTATTTTCTTTTCTTTTCTTTTTCAAATTCCTAGAACCAAACATAGCTTATGGGAAATGGTTAAGCATTCTAAGTATGCAAAATTATCATTAATACACATATTACATGAGCAAACATAAGTCCATTCTATCGTGTTCATTTAATGACAATTTTCCATGCTTAGAATGCTTAAACATTGCCCTAAGGGTAATGGGTAGCAAAAACATAGTTGCAATGTTTGCACCAAATGCAATTTGTGTCACAACCTTCTAGAGAAGGATTAATGCCATGGGATTCCAAATCCAATAATCCATCATTAATACTGTTTCTTTCATTTGCATTGAATATATCATGAGATGACTACTAGTTGTGTAGTTGTGACACTTAAAGTAATAATACAACAACTACGCTAATGCATTTTTTGGCATCTCCGATGGAGCCAAAATTTCAGGTAAAAAACCGAAACCCCACACTACCTTATTTAGTTTTACCTAGAGATTTGATAGACGTGAAGAAATTAATTACTTCATCGTCAATCAGTTCGTTACGTTGAAAGCTGCAACTCGGCCCCCAGAGAAACCTTTGTCGGAGAGATGAAAGCTCATCCCCGTTCCAGACGCATGTCACACCCTCCCCAGACCCTACTCTTGTGGGATTTAACTGGGTTGTTGTTGTTGTTGCTACGCTAATGCATTTGTTGCAATATTGGAAAAGTCTTCACAATTATATCCACAATCCATTCTAAATGAAACTTGCTAGTTGGGAGTACGTATAACTTTTTCCAGCAAATTATACAGGCAGAAAATGAACATCAAAGAGCACAGAATCAGTAATTGATAAAGATGCAAGAGGAGTCGGCTATGAGACAGGAGGCAGCCAGACGAGCAACAGAAGAACAACTTCAAGCACATCGTCGGCAGACAAAGTAGGAAAAGGAAAAGATGAAACAGGAAACTATCAGAATACAAACTTTAGCTGAAGCAAAAGGAACAGCACTTGAAGCTAAGCTTGCTGAGGATGTTAACAGAAGATTGCTAGTAGAACGCGCTAATGCAGAAAGAGAAAAATGGATATCAGCAATAAATACAACTTTCGAGCATATCGGAGGTATGATCTCCATAAGCCTTAAAGTGATGATTAGTGTGGTACAGGTGAGGTTGGGGTGGTGTAACTAAGATCTGAGTTATCTGTAGGACTCTTTAGAGTATATCTTAATTTCCTTGTTCTAAAAATAGTATAATAAGTAATCAAGTGACCTCTTGTTTCGTGCTCCATATCTCCAAAAAAGAGAGCCTTGTTAAGAGTAAGGTTTGACTTCTTATTTATAGTCAAGTCAGCCAAGGTAGAAGTTTTTTAAACTACGAAAGGTCACTTATTCTCCCCAAAACTTATTTCAAATTTTGTGCCTTAATTTATTTAAATTGCTCGCCACTTGGCTTTACGAGAATTTTACTTACCACAACAACAACCTAGTTGAATCCCACTACAGTAGGGTCTGGGGAGGGTGTGTGTACGCAAACCTTTACAAGAATTTCACTTAAATAATGAAAATTGGCTAAACCTGTCTTTTATTGTATAACAAAGTTCTTAAAACATCACTCCTTTCTGGGGGGTGAAAGCAGTAGAATTCTCATTAAAATTTATGTACTAACACAGTAAAAATTAGGAAAATTGTCGGAAGCAGATTCGGTGAAGTCTTGCTATACGGAGACAACCACTTTGTGTGATGGGTAATAAAAATGAGCACCTCGTTTGGATTTTTTATGGAAGTTGCCCATCTTTTTTAGGGGAGTTGAGGGTAATATTTACTGATCAAGATAAGCTGGTTGTGGCTGTTGGTGGTGTGACAGCCCTTGCTGCTGGCGTCGTCTACACAACAAGGTATTATGAATCATAATCAATACTATTAGAATAGTTTCATATATTTGAAGTTACCCTTCTTGATTAACTCATCTACTGGTTAAATTCTTATTCAACTTTTTCCTATTTCAGGGAAGGTGCTAGAGTAATTTGGAGTTATGTGGATCGAATATTAGGACAGCCATCATTGATCCGAGAATCATCCAGGGGCAGGTTCCCTTGGTCAGGTTTCTTTAAGCGTGGCCTGAGCATTTTTTTCAAAAGGGGTATCTGCATCTCAGGCTGAAAAGGGGCTCGAAGATGTCGTTCTAAACCCCTCCCTAAAGAAAAGAGTTTCTCAGCTTGTTAGGACTGTGACTTTTTACAAAGGCACATCAGGCACCCTTTCGTATTGTCCTTTTCCATGGGCCTCCAGGGACAGGAAAGACATTGGTTGCTAGGGAGATTGCTCGCAGCTCTGTAAGTGTTCATTTATAACTGTAAATTGGACTCTTTTTTGGGGGGACAAAGGCCTGTCAAGAAACTGGAGTGCTCTTATGGGAAGGAGGGAGTAAAAGTAATAGCCTTAACTTTTTTCTTTTCCTTGACATTTTCCGGGATCCAAACACACCACACAAACCATCAGGATAGTATAGTTCAATTTACCCACTCTATTTTGTTCTTTGTGGACTCGGATCATAATATAAATCTTGATATATGTTTCTAGGGACTTGACTATGCATTGATGACATCATGACAGGAGGTGATGTAGCACCACTTGGTCTGCAGGCTGTGACCAAGATACATCAACTGTTCGACTGGGCCAAAAAGTCCAACAGAGGCCTGCTACTGTTCATTGATGAAGCAGATGCATTTTTGTGCGAGTAAGTGAGATTTAATTTCCCTTCATATTTTATATGCACTATGTTTGGTTCAAGGAATTCAGAAGGAAAAGAAAATAAAACGGTTTCCTCTCATTTTTCTCACCAAAATGTGAGGAATTGAGTTCTCTCTTCATAGTACATTTTGTTTACTCATTTTCTTTTTCTTCCACTTTCCTTTTCTTTTCCTCTTCAACCAAACAAAAAAAATGTTTTCTATCTCATTTTCTTTTCTTTTCCTATTCAAATTCTTTGAACTAAACATAGTAATAAGGTGTCTCAGTGTGCTTACTCTGCCCTTATTATGCTCATTTCCCTTTGTTCTTAGTATGTTCGTGCTTTTGTCTCGTTTGTTAGTTTATCTACGTTTGAGCCGTGTGTGTCTCGGAAAAGCTTCTCTACTTCCGAGTAGGGGTAATGTCTGCGTACACATACCCTTCCCAGATTCTAACTTTTGTGGGATTTTACTTGTTTTGTTGTGTGTTTTATATAAGGTATGTTTGGATCATGAGAAAAGAAGAGAATGAAATTTGACTAATTTTCTAACTTCAGGCGGAACAAGACCTACATGAGTGAAGCTCAACGGAGTGCCTTATAAATGCCCTTCTGTTCAGAACAGGTGACCAGTCAAAAGACATAGTCATTGCCCTTGCTACAAACAGGCCTGGTGATCTTGATTCAGCTGTCACGGACCCTATATACGAAGTTCTTGAATTCCCTCTCCCAGGCCAAAGTGAGCGCTTTGAGTTGCTGAAACTTAACATGGATAGATACATAGCTCAAGCAGGAGCACGGAAAGCTGGCTTCTTTTCCCGGTTACGATATCCTGAAGGAAGCCGCGGCAAAAACGGAAGGCTTTTCGGGTAGAGAGATCGCCATACTGATGGCAAGTGTTCAGGCCGCTGTTTATGGCAGCGAGAGCTGCGTTTTGGACCCGTCTCTCTTCCGTGAAGTTGTGGATTACAAAGTTGCAGAGCCATCAACGGAGGAAGAAATTAGCTGCTGCTGCTTCTGGAGATGGAAAGGGCGTTTGATTCCAATCAGATTGGGGTTTTGAATTTAGATATTTAATTGTTAATTTTTTTTTTTTTTTTTTACATTTCCATCATCTCCGATGGAGCCAAAATTTCACCATTTTTTGGCTTTGGGGTGTGATGGAATAAATCAAAATGGATCTCTAAACTATCTGCGCTTCTTTAATTAATGAAGTAGTAGTTAGTCAAGCAATGCAACTTTCGACGTTGAGCCGGGGGTCTCTTTGGAAACAGCCTCTCTACTTTCGAGTAGGGGCAAGGTCTGCGTACACACATCCTTCCCAGACCCTACTCTTGTGGGATTTAACTGGGTTGCTGTTGTTGTTGTAATTGTTAATTTTTTTTACGCAGATGATTTAGGCATATATAGGTATCCTTGTTCTATTGAAAAAATATTTCTTTTTGGTTCTCAAAGATCAAAGTGGCCCTTTTTTTCTTCCTTTTGATACTGGAGCATGTCCTTTTTTTTAAGTCATGCTCTATCATCTTTTAGAGCACAAGCAATGGCAAGTAAAAAAAGGATTGCCACACGCTGACATGTCATATTCCAACCAATAAAAAGCAGTCCAGTCACAGAGTGTCAAATGAGTGGAGTGACATACTCTACAGTGGCAAGTCATTAATTTTTGTAACTTTTATATTTTTCGAGAATTTTAATTATCAAAAATTATATTTTATAAAAATTATATATTTCAAAACTATATTCCAAAATGAATCTATTGCTAATATATTTATATGAAAAGTAACAAAGAAAAAAGAAAAAAAATACTCCGTAGATGAGGGCATTTGATGACCAAATCTGTACTTTCTTCTTCAAAGAAAATAAACAAATAAATACAAAAGAAAAAAATGGAAAACAAATACGGGTGAGTGGATGGCCACAGCCCAGAGATCTCCTTTCTTGCCCACAGATCTCCTTTCTTATCCAAAGAAAAAAATGAAAAATAAAAAGGAAACAAAAAATACTCTTGGTATGGAGAACTTTTGCTTCGCACGCTACTCGGAAATAGGGGTGACTCGCCCTAGACACGCATGGCAACATGCTTTTACACGCTGATGTGGCAGAGCGTGGCTTGGTGATGGAACGCCATTGCTAATGCTCTTAGGAGATGTTTGGTTTTAGTTAATAAATCAGAGTGTTTGTTACATTTCTGGTGTTTGATTGGTTTTTCTTTGCTTGCTTCCATGATTTAATTAATTTCACTGCAGCAAATACAATACATCTAGTAAAATTTCATACAAAAATAAGATATAAAAAGAAAGTAGTAGGCTTCACTCTTACCGAGAAGCTAAATTTTGGTCCGGAAAAAGGTTGTAATATACTCCCTCTTTCAAATAAATTAAGTTATCTGTTTACAATTAATAATATCAAACCTTATTAACATTTTTCTTTCTTTATTTTCATTATTAATTTGATAAATTGATCTATCCATTTCATCTCTTATTTCATAGGGTTTTTTAATTAATTTTTTAATACTCCGTATGTAAAGTTTTTGTCTTTTGATTCTACTTCAATTTTCTAATATATTGCATTGAAAATAAACTCAATCAAACATCATAAACCAAAACACACCAAAACAGACAATATAAATTGAGACTTATGTTTGAGTAATATATATGGAATTTACTCATGTTTGATTGTCTTGAAGTAAAAATTCCATTGACTTTACTAAAATGCCCTCCAACCACCCTCTCGCCTAATCTGCCCAGGAATGCCCCTTCCCTACTTCTGCCGCCGCCGCCCCAATTTTACCCCGCTACAGGGCTGACTCCACTGCCAAAATAGGTATCATCGTTGCGCCATCTCCACCATAGACTTGGATTGAAGTCCTCAGATCGGCAAAGAGATATTTCCAAACCAAACTAGGGTTATTCCTTTCAGATTTGACGAAAAAAAGGAGATGAAATGATTTGCTTTTAGATTTGACGAAAATGAAATTTCAAAATTAAGAATACAGATTGGATATGCGAGACGAAGGGATTTGCTTTTCGATGCCCGGCTCTGCGACTTGAACGGATTTACTTTCAGATCTGACGGAAATCTATAGATTGTATTATGACTACATAGATTTGCATCTGTCACCACCGCACTTCCCAATATCCTTCTGACTCGAGCCGCTGCAAATCGATGGGATGGAATAATCGAAGAAGATAGGTTGAAGTAGTGAGGTTATGGAGTGGGTCGAATCAAAGAAGATGATGAAGTGTGGGGTGGAAGAAAAAGAAAGTGTGGGGGGAATCAAAGAGAAGAAGAAGCTGCAGTTTGGTTGGAAGACGATGAAGGTGTGGGGTGGAAAAAGAAGATGAGGGTGTGTAAGAAGTGTGGAGGAGGGAAGGGGCGTGGAGGGATAAAACTATAAAAGGGTAGATAGGTCAATACACATAAAAAAATTTGCCAAATAAGAAAATGGGAAGATAATTTGTGGACCGACGAAAAAAGGAAAATGGGAAGATAATTTTTGGACAGAGGGAGCATATGGAATTTAGAATCTTTTGACCATCGAGTAATCTACATAGCAATGAAATCTTCATTAAAGCACAATTCGAGATCATAAAAGAGAAAAAAGACACATGGGTATAGTTCTTATTACAGCCACCATCAATACATTTCAAAGACAAGAGTGCAGTTTGATTGGACTATTAAAACTTGGAAAAAGAGGGCAAATTCCCACTCAGCATCTTAATGATGATGGCCACCACCACCACTGTGATCTTGGACGTAGCGTAAGCCGCAGTACTTGCAAACCGCTGGTTTATCCAAATCAAGGCATATATACTCAATTGGATGCCCGAGTGCAGGATTGCTATCTGCATTTGGGGGGGGGGTGTGATTCATTCATTTCAAAGTAAACATTAGCATGATGACACTAAGCAACCTGAGAAATGTTGAGTACGAGTGCACAACAATAGCATAACTCAATATAATCTCAACTTTGTAAAACAAATAGCAAAACACAATATAATAACACCCCAATACGCAACACTATCCATGTTTTGAAAAAGAGATGTTTGTTCCCATTAGACCCTCGATGCATTGCTACATTGACTATCCATTGATTAAGTCCATTATTTTTACTCGAAGCTAACATGTATTTATAGATATGTTAACTCTTCTAGGACCCGTTTGGGAAATGCATGAGTTACATGATCTCAATATCAAAATCCTTTTTTAGATGTTTGGTGAAGCTTAATAAGGGTTTCGATTTAATATCTCCTGTTATCACAACCCTTCTAAATGAAGGTGCTTTGGTATCTCCCAAATTTAGAAGATATCAATCCGGAGGCTTACATATTTCCTTCAACTGCCAACCACCCTTCGCACGTCACTAACAATCATCATTTCACATCTCTCCAAAGTCCAAGCACTTTCATTTCAAATTTTATAACTCATATCATTTCTTTATGTCATACCAATTTTGCTTTGCTCACCAAATGCGCCCTTAGCTCTATTGGAACTCAGGAGGGATTACAATTTGCATTTATATACATAAACATACCTCCCTCACAGGCGGCGATCCTGCCCTCCACCTTTAATGGTGGAACTTCGTTGATCAGCTCCATAGGAGATTTTTTGCTGAAATCCTACGAATACATCGCCGAGAAAACCCCATAAATAAGATTCAATCACTTCACTTTACATGACAAATGACAACTAACACATGGCTATTCAGAGCAAATATGATACACCCCCATGCATACAAGGATGAAATAGAGATGCTGACTGTTTTGGATCATTTGTCCACCTTCTGCATTCAGTCCATTTGTTGTTACACAATAACCTTAAGGCCCTTAATAGCAAAAATGAGTTTATGACAAAAGGGACATATTAAAAAGAATAAAATCATTACGATCATACAGCTAAAGCTCCGTAACAACAAACCTTTGCTGTTGAAATGGGTGAATAAAATACATGGATGAACTTCAAAGATATAACAACATGCAATGCATGTGTATTAGGTGATTGTTTTTGAATAAGATCTCAGCAAATACAATGTCATAATGTCATGACCAAACAAAACATATCTAGTACATCTCAGTCAAGAGTGTGGTCAGAGGGCAAGATGAACACAAACCATACCTCTGCTCCAAGAACATTTTTCCAAGAGGAATTGAAGGAAAAAAACACCCACCCACACACATACACACAAGCATTTATGGCAATTGCACAAGGACTCTACAACCATAACACTATCGACTAGAAGCCAAAAGCTCCTACCAGACTTTGGGTTGAGTAAAATTAAGTGAGTTTAATCTTCAAACTTCTGGTTGAAAATGAGTAAAAAGCACGAGCCTGTGAGACCTAATATAGTAAGAAGGGGCTGAAGGGCTATTAAAATTTATATTTGCCAGTCTCCCCTCAATCAATTATCCGACAAGATCATAAGCCTTTATTGGAATTGCATATGAATCGAAATTCCGTCCACATACAGAAAACAACAAAGATAAAAAATTTGATTAAATACTCCCGAATCCCTTAATCAAACAAGCAGCTGCTAAATTGCTCGCTAGAGATTGCCTTCAAGATACGCCATGATATGAGACTTGATTTATTGATAGGAGGACTTGAAATTGCTCACCTGCATCCATTTAGCAGTGTGCGACGAGATGATGTCGCCGCTAACGATGCCGGCAGCGGCGCCGTTGATGCTCCTCGAGCTTGAGGGGAAATTGGTGACACGAGATCTTGGAGTTAGGGTTTTCAACAGATTAGTCGCCATTGTTACGCCCCGTTTCCTCCCGAAAGACGCCATGGCTTAGAGTTGGATGGAAAAAAATTGCAGGAGTGAATTAAAGACGACTATTATTATTATTATTATTATTATTATTATTATTATTATTATTAATATTATTATTATTATTATTATTATTATTATTATTATTATTGTTGTTGTTATTATTATTATTATTATTATTATTAATTGCACACTCCGTCCATAATTTTTTTTAATTAACCTTTTTTGGTCAAAGTTCGTAAATTTAGACATTAATGTGCGAAAAAAATTTATTGTATTATGATATAAATATAATATCAATAAATTATTTTTGAAACATTAATTTTTATAAAATATATATGTATGCATATATATAAATATTGTTAAAGTGATACATTTGATCCCGTAAAGAGTCAAATCAGAAAAAGTTTGCGACAAATGGTGTCCTACTGTTATTGTGAATGGCTCCATCGTTAGTCTGTGGTTGCTAGCCGCCATTTTTGCTTTGTCGTTCGTCGTTGCCTTCCGCACCGGGTTGTCACTGGCCGCCATTGAGAAAATAATAATTATTATTACTATTATTATTATGATAATTTCCACAAAAAATATAATAACAATAAGAATAATAATACTCCCTTCACTGTGGGTGTATATGTCTACTTTTGATTTTTTTTAGTAAAAATGGGTATACTTCAAATTAAAAAATAATATTATATATTGATATAAAACTAGTTTTATTAGATTTATTACATAAAATATTTCAAAATATTATTTTATCTAGTCAATGTATCATATTTATTTTATTTAATTATAGGTCAAATGTTTAAAACAATTGACCGAAAAAAGTCAAAACTGGACAAATACTCGGGTACAGAGGTAGTAATAATAATAATAATATTTCTCCCAAAATAATAATAATAATAATAATAATAATAATAATAATAATAATTTGGAATAATAATAATAATTTACAAGCGGTCAAAATTTACAAACTTTGACAAAAAAGTTATGGACTGAGAGTGTAATTAATTAATTAATTAACTAATTTTTTTTTGAAAGTAATTAATTAACTAATTAATAAATAATAATATGTATAAAAGATGAAAAATAGAGGGGTAGAATAGGGTTGGGTCAAAATCGAAAGAAGAGAATTGAAGGAGAAGAAGAAGAAAAGAAGGGAATAAGGAGAGAAGAAAAGAAAAAAGAAAGAGAAAAGACGAAAAAAGAAGAAGAAGAAGGATTGAAGAATGGAAGATGATGAAAGAGGAAGAAGATGAAGTAGAAAGAAGAAGATTACATAGAAATTCGGTTTTGACAGAATATGGACGGAATGTCACCCCGTAGTACGTTTTTGGGTATTTTAAGGTACCTCGTAGTAAATTTTAGAAAACCAAAAAATTGCTGCTGGGTATCCTCGTTTTTGTGATAAGAACTCACAGGTCCCATTGTTTTCTAAAATTTACTACGAGGTAACTTAAAATATTCAAAAACGTACCACGGGGTGACATTCCGTCCATATTCCGTTAAAACCAAATTTTTCCGTTATCTTCATCTTCTTCCTCTTTCATCATATTCCATTCTAAAATCCTTCTTCTTTTTTCCATTTTCTTTTTCTTTTTCTTTTCTTTTTCTTTTTCTTCTTTTCTTTTCTTGACTAACTGCTACTTCATTAATTAAACAAGCAGACAGTTTAGAGATCCATTTTGATTTATTCCATCACACCCCAAAGCCAAAAAATGGTGAAATTTTGGCTCCATCAGAGATGATGGAAAACAAGAACTAATGAAGTGTCTTGACTATAATTATGGCCCTCGTTATAACAGAAAAGAACATCTCTGAAATTTATAATAAAAATTTGAGTTTTACACGTTCTTGTGAAAAAGTAAATTTTCAAGCAATATCTAACTTCTTTATCTTACAAGTGGCTCTCGTTGAAGCTAGTTGGTTATGAGCGTGATACGGACACAATTGGGCCTCCGGTGGGAGACAATGCAGCTTTGGGACGTCCACGCAGGAAGGTCGGGCCGCCCCGACGTTACAACGATTATGTTTGAATTTATAATTTTTATTTATTATTGTATCTTAGATTTTATTAGGTGAACAGAATTATAATGCTCCTTCGAGGGTTTCTTTTCGGTTCTTTACCTCGTCGCTTTTCTTTGAACCGACACGATAGACAATTAGCTAATTAGACTTGGGAGAATTAATATAAATAGGGCGTGCTAAACCCTATTACTATCAAGCAACAATAATAATTCTCCTTCCCTTAAACCTCTTCTCTCTCTAAAACCCTAAAGGGTTACTTCCTCCGCCTCTTCCTTCGGCTTCACTGGAAAGTCTCCAGCCGAACGCCACCCCCTTCAGGAGTTCTTCCGTAGCAAACTCCGGCAAGGCTCTTATCAGAGCGAGTCTTAAATCAAATTCTATAAGTAGCTCTATGTGAGAATTTTTTTTTAAGTGCCCTAAGTGAGAGTTGGGCTGTGTGATTCCTAAAAAACAGACTTATATTTTATCCTTGAAGACATCTTTCATATTCTTTTAGGTGCTAAATTTCAAATTCCATATCCACTTTGATTGCACCCTACACTTACATACGGATGAAATTAAAAAACACGTTTGCTATAAATACAGAGTATATATCTAGATTGAAATTTCAGATAAACTACAAGATACGCACACCGTGGTAGAAAAGAGTAAAATGTGAAGCAACACCATTAGTAAGCTCGATAAGTTATGGCAGATTCAAACTAGACAATAACCGAAACATGTTTGAAGAGGAAAAAGATATGACAAACCTGAAGAACCTAGAGGTGCCCTGGTGACTTATTTGACCTTTATTCAAAAAGGTTCTAATATTTAATTCATATTATTTACTATCATGTTTTCCATCATCTCCGATGGAGCCAAAATTTCACCATTTTTTGGCTTTGGGGTGTGATGGAATAAATCAAAATGGATCTCTAAACTATCTGCGCTTCTTTAATTAATGAAGTAGCAGTTAGTCAAGCAATGCAACTTTCGACGTTGAGCCGGGGGTCTCTTTGGAAATAGCCTCTCTACTTTCGAGTAGGGGCAAGGTCTGCGTACACACACCCTTCCCAGACCCTACTCTTGTGGGATTTAACTGGGTTGTTGTTGTTGTATTATTTACTATCATGATTTGTTACGTCTTGAAAACCGGTTAGAAGTTGATTGCTAATTAAATAGATAAGAATTATATTATATATTTACGACAATCAATTCTTTTAAAGAATTAAAAGATATTTTAGAGATTCTAATCATATCCATATAACGAAACTAATCCGAGAATATTGGTAAATATTTGAATTAAAAGACTAATTGGTACTCCCTCCGTCCTAAAACTTTCTTCCTGGTTCGCAAAACGAAGAAAAATCTCAAGTTTTTTCAATCTATTTTATTTAAATATTGGTATAGAAATAAAAAATAAAACATACATATTTAAAAACTACATCAAAAGTTCAACAAAACAAGTGGTGACAAGAATATTTTATTTTATCATATAGGCCATGAAAAAACACAAATAAATATAAATTCCCGTGAAGTTGGAATAGTGTTATGGGAAGAAAGTTTTAGGACGGAGGGAGTACTAATTAATCAAAAGAATTAAGACAAATGAGGTGGGACTTATAAATGCTCATGAATTGATTATAAAAGTTATATCTTTGGGTAGGGATCGACGAATCGAATCTAACGACGCGAACAGATTTCAATTTAGAACAATTTAGCCTGAAAAGTACTCCCTCCATCCTAATTCTTTCTTCCCAGTTTGACTTTTCCCCATTTTTAATTTTTGGCTTTGACTTCAAATTTTTTCTCTCATTAAAAAAGATTTTTTGATTTTTTTTTACAATTATTCAAAATATAGAATTAGAAGATAATTGGTGTAAATACATGAGAATATTAATGTCATTTGTCATCTTTTTTTCTAATGGGAAGATAGTTTTAGAACGAAAAAAAAGAGGAAGTGAGAAGAAAGTTTAGGAGGGGACCTGAGTATGTTTTATTTAAATTACCGGAACAAAACCAAACCCTAGACATATATAAATAAGTTTTGACGTCTTTCCCTAGATCGCCGTTTCTCTTCTCTTCTTCGGCCTACAGAAGCAACGCAGCAACTAGCGGCGACCTCGTCCCGTCAGCGCGCCGGTCCCAAGGGTTTGCTCTCTCTCTCTCTCTCTCGATTCTCTGCGTCTCCATCCATTTCCGACGGTCCAGCGAGCTCCACTGGCGACGGGATCAGCAGACGATGTTTCCCTCACGTCCTCCATGTCCTCCGGCAGAAACAGCTACAACGGCAACCTCGGAAGAGAAGATGGTGACCAGCGACCTATGGGCTCCGATGAACGAGCCCCGGCAGCAGCGTGAAGCGCCCAGCGGCGACGTTGTGTCCCAGCTCTGTCCGGCGACGGTAGAGCAGATATGGCGACACCTAGGAGCGTCTGTGAACAGTGGTAACGATCTTGGATAGCAGTGGTAACACAATTGTCCTATCTGTAGAGCACAATTTGTTCCTTGGGAAAATGGTTAAACAGGACCAACACTACTCCAATCTCATTCTACCATGAAATAACAGTTCTTGGAGTGCACTTAATTGCCTTTACCAATCTCTTACTTTTGTTTAATGTGGGTAGTTTGAGTAAAAATTTATATTTTTCTTGTTGGTTTATTTTTTCTCACATCATCTAAATTCTGACTTCTTGGTTGGGTGCAGGAACAAGAGTTGCAAGTTCATCTAAGGGTGTACAAGGTGATGGATAGAGAAATGGCAATACTAACCAGCATCTGGTTGCAAAAACTGCAGGTATGACAAGGTCTCGCTGAGCCTCCATGTTTGGTTTCATGTTTTGAGTCTCTTTTCGTTGTTAGAAGATTCACTCATTCTATAGAGGTCAACCTATCTTAATCAGATAGTAACACATAACTAACAAACAATTGAAGTCTTACCTTCGTGAGGCAGAGGAGTTGCGAGAGGCGTGGATGCAGTTGTTGAAGTACTTAATAAACAAATCAACACTTTCTATA